CCAAGCAGCAAACTTTTTATTCAGAATGTGAAATGTGATAGGAAAAAGAACCTAGAACTTACAAAGTTCATAAATTACAGAAAAAGTTGTCTATGAGATCAGCTGAAGTAGATTTTTAATATACAGCAGAATTATTTCATTCCATCATAATAATTTAAACATGCTATGGAAAAGAAAGAACGGGATTGCAAATCTTCAATAAAAGGGAATTCATATTTAGCTGAATGGGACATCTGTTCATGTGTGTGACAGGGAAGGCAATGTGTTGAAAGAGGTAGAATTATTTGCTGTGCTCAGGCAGTGGGAGACTAGTCCCAGCATGCACTTGGCAAAACCAATACACTGTGAGATGGGGTGCAGAAGAGAGACTTGAGGGATAATATGTAGTTGCATTGAGTGCCTTAGTTGGGTTAAGCCCATACACCCTACGAAGTAAACAAACATACTTGATGAGCATGCTCAAAAGGCCAAGGAGTGAGAAGCAAGAGCCAGTCGAGTAAATGCTCCATTCAGTTTGAAATCACTTCTGAAGAGTGCCTTGCTAAGGATATGCTTTCCACAGGTCCTCATGAACAGAACTGCAAAACTAGGTGCTCCCAGTAATGGGCAGCCACAATAGGCTGGACCGCAGGGCAGCCCCACACTTCGCTCAGTAGTGCTCCGTCATAGGAGCCCTTCAGAGCCACTGTTGCTGCAACATGTGGATATCATCATTTCTCATCGTCATCCTTTCACAGTCATCAGTAAAGGTACTCCTGACATGCAGAAGTCTCTATTGAGGGCATCACAGAATTTAATGTATATTTGAGGGGAAGCAATTTCTAGCAGGTGTTATCACAGCCTAGGTGAATTGTGCCACTGAAATTAGATGTTTATTGGGGAATTCTGCACTAGTGTGAGTGAAAGGTTTCAGGATTCTTAGCATGGACTGTAGGACGGAGAGAAAGAGAAAAGGTTTGCATATCATTGAGACAGTGGTCGTGGACCTCCATCAGGCAGGGGATGATGGAACCATAATGGATTATTAAGAATGTATCTACTCTGCATGTACATTGTGCTTTGCATTCCTGTCTGGTGTAGATGTTGGGAGTCCATGCTAGTTTAGTATTTCTTACGTTTTACCAATTGTGCTGCTGACTTAATGATACAGAGGATTCACACAACAGCCGTGTCTCCCCCTCTGCTTCTCATGACTTAGACCTCACCATGGGTTCTGTGCTCTTCACCTTGTCTCCATTTGGGAAAAAAAATCCTTAATGTAAGCATTTAGTTTGGAGTCACAACAAATATCTTGAAAAAAGATTTAGAACTCAGGTAGTAAAGGTGGGCTTGTCTCTTGATGAATGAATTAAATTTTTGTGGGATCTTATTGATTAGACTAATCTCAGGATCATATATATGTGTGTGTGTGTGTAAGTGAAACAGACATAAGATTTGGTGTGTCTTAAATAGGGTGCCAACATGTGATTGCTTTTTATTTTCTTATTTATTCATTTACTCTAATGTTGTAGGACTGTACAATTGTTTTACTACTCATAGTGGATAGTAACACTTCTCAGTTCTATTTATAGTGGCCAGTTATTTAAGATGTATGTGCGTGTGCATGTGTGTGCATGCTCCCACACAGTCACATATCCCAATTTCAGAAAGGCATTTGCTATTTTTATACTTGCAACACTTTCTTCTTTGTTGAGCATTCTTTCTCAGCCAGGAAAGGGAGCAGTTTTTCACCAACAGTATGGTTTCATTGTACCCATTAAGATTAGAATAACACACGCAGTCCTACAGATTAAATGTCTGACTGCGTCAGATAATTACGTATTCATCTTAACGTTTCAAAGTTGATCATCCACTTTTAACGGCAGATGCTTACACTAACCTTGCAAGGACACTGAGTCTAGACTGCAAGCAATTTTCTGTTTGTGAATTTGGCAGTGATTACAAGCCTAGTGCTGGGCCCAGCTGGGAGAGAATCGTCAGTGATGAGGAGGATGGTTAAGTTCAAGGCTCTTGTAAAAAGATGTATGTGGAGAGGGAAAGGAAGAAGGAGGGAAGGGGGAGAAATCTGACACTAGAGTGAACAGAAAAGAAAGCAATGTGGGCCAGCGCCGTGGCTCAATAGGTTAATCCTCCGCCTTTGGCACTGGCACCCCAGGTTCTAGTCCTGGTCGGGGCGCTGGTTCTGTCCCGGTTGCTCCTCTTCCAGTCCAGCTCTCTACTGTGGCTCAGGAAGGCAGTGGAGGATGGCCCAAGTGCTTGGGCCCTGCACCTGCATGGGAGACCAGGAGAAGCACCTGGCTCCAGGCTTTGGATCAGTGCTGTGCACCAGCCGCAGTGCACCGACTGCGGTGGCCATTGGAGGGTGAACCAACGGTAAAGGAAGACCTTTCTCTCTGTCTCTCTCTCTCTCTCTCACTGTCCACTCTGCCTGTCAAAAGAAAAAAAAAAAGGCAATATGAACTTTTCGCCTTTAAGCTCTTAAGATATCAGTAGTGGGGAACAATTAACAACAGTCATGTAAAATATGGCCCCAGAGCTAGGTGGAAGTTCACAGTCAGGACTTCATGTGTGTTTTCCATGGAATTTCCATGGAATTTACCCTGTCTCCCATGCCAGAATGCCATAGGAACACAGTGTCATTATGCCATGAAAACAGTGCCCAGTTGACATGAATGAGTCCAATGAGTCATCAGGGCTGGATTTATAAATGGTGGTCCTGAATGGAAATGAAAGGTGTAGGAAATCTTAGATTAAATCCACAGCCCATGTATTATTATTATTATTATTATTATTGACAGGCAGAGTTACTGAGAGAGGGAGACAGAGAGAAAGGTCTTTTTTTTCCATTGGTTCACCCCCAGATGGCCGCTGCGGTCGGTGTGCTGTGCCAATCTGAAGCCGGGAGCCAGGTACTTCTCCTGGTCTCCCATGGGGTGCAGGGCCCAAGCACTTGGGCCATCCTCCACTGCACTTCTGGGCCACAGCAGAGAGCTGGACAGAATCCAGCGTCCCAAACGGGACTAGAACCCGCGGCGCCGGCCTACAGCCCTTGTATTACTCATATGCTCATGGTTGTCTGCAAGTGTCCATAGTGTCTCATGGCTCGGTTAGCAGGAGCAGGTGGACCGGCCCACATAGCTGCTGCTCTGTAGGACCACAGAGGATGGTTAGGGAGGCCGGAACGGTGGCATTGAAAAGGGGGCTAAGAGATGGTTGGCTGAGCAAGTGTTTTTATCTGTGGCCTGTGTTTTGCCACAAGATTCAAGTCTTTGTGTTGTTGAGCCTCGTTAGGATGTGGGGAGCTATCAGGTAGAGGGCAGATGGACTCACCTTTCTTTCCCCAGGTTCTCCTTTGCAGCAGCTCTTCATGTCCCTGCCTCACAGGGAAGCAGCTCCTATTCCAGAGACTGGCAGTAGGAGTGGAGCCTTGCACTAGCAGGCCGGTATCCATAATCCTGGTACTGCCAGGGAGCTGATGCACGAACTCAGTCAAGGTCCTTCCCTTTCTTCTCAGTTTCCTCATCTGCTAATGGCATTAATAAGGGCACTGTGGATTTTGATGAAGCACCATGTAGAGAACAATAAGAACAGGGAATAGAATATATATATATAGAGAGAGAGAGAGAGAGAGAGAGAGACCCTGAAAATGACCGAAGAAAAATCAACAATTCATCACAGTTCAAGAGCACACTTTCCCCAGAGGGATGGTATACACAGGGCCCAGTGATCTGTCAGATAATTCCATATGGAGAAAATTAAAATATAATGGGCCAGAAATTTTTTCTTATATTATTCAGTTCCAACTAACAACTGCATAAACCAGAAGAAAGTCCAGGTAGTTAAGTACTGTGCCACAGAGGGAAAACACAGCTGTTACCATGCAGGGGAGCCGTCGCTTCCGTAAATCCATGGTGCAAAAAGCCGCATCTGCAGCAACTACAAGGGACATGGAAATGAACTGTGCCGGTGCTTTCTCCGAAGTGACTTTCCATAGTTTACATTTTTGTCACCTTCTCTTTTAAAAATCCAAACATAGTTCTGTAGGGCAGTGAAAAGCTTTGTTATTTGGTAAATTGGGTTTCTGTGTTCACATTAACTGAAGTTCAGGATGATGGTGGTTACAGGGAATGAAAGGGGTTGAAACGACAGATTGAGTGGTGTGTTTCTCAGGTTATGAAGTTCGGGAAAATGTGTAATTATTTCTGAGTTTCCTAAGGTTCCTCTGTTCAACATAATGTTCTGACATACAACAGGGACAGTCTCAGATATGAAATGCAAATCCATAGTTGCTGCCCAGCTCTGGATGTTGGGGTTAATCATGCAAATCTAATGCAGTTCTTGGTATTTCCAGAAAGATTTTAGTTAAAGTCCCGTGCACGTTTTGATTTAAAATTCTGACTTTAGAGAGCAGTGTAATTTTTTTCAGCTTTACATTTTAACATGCAGAACAGGATTTGGAGAAATCAGTGACTGGACATCCATCCATATTTGTTAATCCTGGGGCAGGGAGTGAATAAGGATGAGGCAGGAGGTAGAACAGAAGGGTTCCCTTAAACACTTTGGGGACTTCAAAGCATACTGAATGTGAAATTAGAACTGTATTTACAAGTGTTCTACCGAAAGTCCCTTTGTTTGGAATCAGATCAAACCTACTGGTTATATAGGTATATTGAATGTCGTCTCTGTTCAAAGAACATGGCTAATTCAGGCAAGGACAGACCAAATAAAAAATAACACCACCACTAGTTCCTAACTTTTGAAATGCCATAAAATACTTGGGAAATGAGACTATTTACAGGAAGAAATGAAATTGTCTTGCTCACTAGAGCAAGCTTGACACATTCTAATCGCCTTTCTGCTATGCGCAATCAGCATTCAGCTTATCTTTCCAAGAACAATAAACTTTCATGTACTGCTGCCTGACATAAAAATTATTTTTACATATCTCCATATCGCTGACTCTTGTAAGTTAATCTCATCTCACATGAATTTTTCACCAGCTTCACTCTGATGTTGATAAAGGAGATGGTTCCATCAAATACATCTTGTCAGGCGAAGGGGCAAGTTCCATTTTCATTATCGATGAGAACACAGGGGATATTCATGCAACCAAGAGACTGGATCGTGAGGAACAGGCCTACTACACCCTCCGAGCCCAAGCACTGGACAGGCTTACCAACAAACCTGTGGAGCCTGAGTCTGAGTTTGTGATCAAAATCCAGGATATCAATGACAATGAACCCAAATTTTTGGATGGCCCATACACAGCAGGAGTTCCTGAAATGTCTCCTGTGGGTAAGTAGAAACCATACTGCTATTGCAGTGAGCATCTGACTTTCAGTGGTTTGTATTTAAATCCATAATTTTGTTAAGTTCTGAAAAATGTATTATCTATAAAGGAGTTATCATGGTCAAAGGAAGGTGTGAGTTAGTAGTCAGTACCATTAATTCAACACATTATTTTAGTTATATGGAAAACTACGAAACTATTTTTGCATTTTACATTGTTCTTTTTACATTTTTTTTACAACTCAATGTCTTCAGAAATTTTTAGGTCTTACAGTTTGTTTTCCATTTAATGTTTGTTTATTTGTTATTAAATGAATACAGTTATGCCTCAGAAGTTAAACAATAACACCCTTCCAGATACAGCCCAGTGATGATCTGTTACTGTTATTTCCATGATACTAGGATAATGATTCACTGTTCCAAAGATCACCTTGTGGCTGGGCAATCTATGCAGAAGGTCCCCAGTGGCAAGCCACAGTGACATTCTAACAAACTGGCCTGTGTAATTGTAATGAATGTGGTTGAACCCACAAGTGTCCACTCACACGTCATCCTTCATCTTTCTGTAATCAACTAGTTGATTTATTTATTTACTTATTGTTTTTAATATTGAAGGAGGAAGTTTTCTTAAAACAACATTGGACCTTCTAATTTATCACATGGGAATTTTAGCCAATATTATTTGTGTTATTTTATTTATTTATTTATTTTTTCTTTCTTTTTTTTGGACAGGCAGAGTTAGTGAGAGAGAGAGAAAAAGAGAAAGGTCTTCCTTTTCTGTTGGTTCACCCCCCAGATGGTCACTATGGCTGGCGCTTTGCGGCCTGCAAACTGCGCCTATCCGAAGCCAGGAGCCAGATGCTTCTCCTGGTCTCCCATGTGGGTGCAGGGCCCAAGGACCTGGACCATCCTCCACTGCACTCCCTGGGCCACAGCAGAGAGCTGGACAGGAAGAGGAGCAACTGGGCCAGAATCCGGCACCCCAACCGGGCTAGAACCTGGGGTGCCGGTGCCATAGGAAGAGGATTAGCCTAGTGAGCTGCGGCGCCGGCCTATTTGTGTTATTTTAAATAAAAGTCATTTTAGTCATTCAATCAAGACCTCTCGTACATGGGTAGCGGGGAATTTAAAGAAGTGTATTGTTCATACGCTTTAGGGGAGTCACAGTTTAGTGACCCTAAGTGTTTGTGTACCAGATGAGAGAGGGGCAGCTTATTTGTGGCACTATGGCCTTCGCTGGCTGAAGAAATACAAACTGGAAATGAGACAGAGGAATCAGTGCTTCTGTTCAGAAGCAGGTCTGACACCGGTGGCAGAACCTCTGCATCACATGTGAGCATTTCTGCGGACAACAGGTGTGTCCACGCTCGGAGTCCTGCCCACACCTTTTCATCAAAGGCGGCAGCCACAGCAGCAGTGACCAGAGTCTCTAAGTTGGAGAGAAGACATGTTTTCCTCCACAAATTAGTGATGTTTAGTAAAATGAGACTGTGTGAGGAGTGTTTGACCACTTCCGTTCAACTTCAGAGCTGTGCTAGGGGCATTTTTGGCACCATTCTTTGGCTTGCTAAGGTTGCATAGACTGCAACCATGCAAATTGGGTCTGTGTCAAATTTTTGTTATAGAAAGTAAGTAATGCACGGTAGTTTTATTTGATGGTGGTATCCTGATTTCACACAGCATGATTATTAAGGACACCAGTATGTTTTTTAATTTACTTGAATTCAAACAAGGTCAAAACTTTTAGAAAATGATTTTTGGATATCATCAGATTTTACTTCATGCTAATTTGTACCACTGGGTTAATCTAAAAATTTTAATTTAGACCACAGAAATTTATACAAAATATGTTGCTATAGATTTGCAATGTTATAGTTTATAGTAATAGTAACTAAATAATTATAATACCTACTAAATAGTATGGTCTGTACAATGCAAATTTTCTATGTTTAATATTCAGGATTTTATTTTTCATTTGATATTAAATAATTATAAGATTTAAATCTCATGAATTATAACCTAGGAGAGTTTATTGATCACCAGAGGAGCATAGATAAACCTAAAACTCAATAAATTTATTTTCAAATAGATATATTTATGTAGGTATATAGTAGGTGTCCATATATATAATATGTAATATAATCTGTATGAAATTAGTTCATGGCTATGTCAGGAAAATATGTTATGCAGAAATAGATTAACTGGTTTTATTTTAATTGTTATTTTAAAGTTGCTTATTTTTTGAAATGAAGTAGGAAATCCCCAAGTTAGCATATCAACAGAATATATTGATATAAAGAAGCATTATAGAGAAAACAGAAATAGGAGTATAATTGATTATAGCATTTAAAATATTCACAATTTAATGAATTTTTATAAAGACATTTATTTATTGATTGGTTTTTAAAGTCTGAGTGACAGAGAGGGAGAGACAGATAGACAAACACACACACACACACACACACACACAGAGGGAGAGAAAGAGAGAAAGAGAGAGAAAGAGAGATCTTCCATTTGTTGGTTGACTTCCCAGATGGCTGTACTGGCCAGTGCTTGGCCAAGCCAAAGCCAGGAGCCAGGAGCTTCATCTGGGGCCCAAGCTCTTGAGGCATCTTTGGCTGCTTTTCTGAGGCCATTAATAGGAAGCTCCATCAGAAGTGGAGCAGCCAGGGGATGAGCAGCACCCATATGCAGGCAGTAGCTTTACCCACTGTGCAACAGTGCCAGCCCTAAGAACATCGAATAAAAATCTTCAGGATTTTAAAAACGTGATGCCATGTCCTTATCTTCATAATTCCTTCCTAAGGTTAAAGAAAATGGAGTTGGTAACATCAGTCTTCCAAATACGGAAAATAGAATGGATTTGTAACAGAGTGCACATTAATAATGGCTTATTTATTTAGAAAGATCTGTGTAAGAATACATCTAAAAAGATGTTATAATTAAAATGTCACATTCAGGAACTTAGTAGAAACAAATTAGGACCTTAAAGAATACATCAACGTCTCATGTCCATCAGATAGGACATAAATTACATAATAGTATGTGCTTAACTATATAAACTATGCAATCATGAATTATTTTAGTATTTTGAATATTATATTTGAAATGGAAATAGAACAAACATATCAGTATTAATGTTTTTCTTATGGAATAAGTTAGTGCTTGGTAAAGTGAAGAAGCATGATGACATTTATCACATGCTGTAGAGAAAAACCCTAATAATGCTATTTTTAAAGTTGCTTTGCTTTTCCTTCCTTGGGAGCGCTTCATTTAGATATTTATGCATAATTTGTTTTTAAGTCAGTTCCTTGAAACAAAGACAAACCAAAACAACTCTCAAGTAGATAGGGTGGCCATCTACCTACTTCCCAGATAATGGGTCAACTGTACAATTAACAACATTTCTGTTTCTGTCTGGCTCTACCTAAACACAGCAGTGAGATAGCTCCATAATTTGTGAGTTGAGGATGTCAATAAATGCTATGCTGCTTTCTACATAGAGACTGACTTTTAATGAACCTACTTTTGGTGAAAACTGGAACCTGACCCTCAGAGGTGAAATTCCTAAAATTTCACTCCCGTCTGAGTCTCAGTATATGCTGATATAGCATGTCTCATCAATGTTTTTTTTTTTTTTTTTTACCTATGTATTTTCATAACCCTTAAATAAATCATGAGTTTTACTAACCTTTAGCATTATTGGGAGGCTGACAGGAGCAAAGTAGAAAAAAAAAAAAAGCACGACAGTTTTGCATGTAACTTAAAGCAAGACAAATTAAAAATTGTAACTCTAATGGAGAATCTGCAACATTTTGTGAGTTCTTTCACTTTGTCCTGTTTGAATGTGTTTAACTCAATGGCTTTTGGGTCATTACCTAGGGACCTCAGTGGTACAAGTGACAGCCACAGATGCTGATGATCCTACCTATGGTAACAGCGCCCGAGTCGTCTACAGCATTCTGCAAGGGCAGCCTTACTTCTCAGTGGAGCCAAAGACAGGTAAAAAACAGAAATGTGCAATCTCTGTAAAAGTCATCAGTGATATCTTGGCTTAGAGTCAATATCAATTTCTACTAAGTAAAATTGGCACTGATAACATAGTCACTCTATTTTATCATGTTCCTGTATATATATCTACTACTATAATACATAGAATATTCTTTATACAGGAGTTACCACCCATGTTCTTAACAAATTAAAGAAAATTCTATATATTTAAATACATCTCATTTGCCTTCTCCTGGCTATATAAGAAAATTTTGTTTTCTTCCACAGATTCACATAGGGAGTTGTACTTGGCCATGTCTTTCAGTTGCATAGTTCATAGTTTCAGGTTTTCCTTCCAGAAGCCATTTCTCAGGGAAACATGTTGAAACATAATGATTAGGATGATAGTCGGCTACGTCAAAAACTAAACTAAAAGTATTTTTTTTTTCATTTGGGGAAAATTGTTACTATGAGTTGCAACGTATGTGGGGAGAATATTTATGTGGTTGACTTATTTGTTCTGTTTGAAATCTGAAACAGTTTGAATTGAGTAAGCTGTAAGTTGGAGCATTATAGATATGGTTATAAAATTATATTTTAATATATATGAACTTTCTGGGCCTGTGCATAGGGAATGGTGGGGATATAAATATTGCCCTTGTTTTTTAAATCAGTGTGAAATATAAAATATCTCTGTTTTTAAATAATATTGTTCTATTGTAGACTAGTATTCTTCAAATACATAAATTTATGATTATGATTTTTGATAGTACTATGCCTCCAAGTGAATACTGCAATGCTATTGGTCTTGTTGTTCATACTTATAAAAAAGACAATATTTATTGATCTAGTCTCAAGTCATGATGAGGATAAATGTCTGGAGAATAATAGCTATAGTGTGTGTGAACAGAGAAAAGAATTTAATCCTTGCTCATTCATTGGTGCTTTTCTAGCAACTGCCAATTCATTTCTATGCCGTGGCAAAGTTTGAGTAGACATAGTTTAATTAAGGAAGTGTTGCAGGAAAACCAAATGGAAGTATTTGATTATGGTACTAATTCTATAAATGTAAAAAGTGTGCTCAGGTTTGATTGAAAGATAGATTTCAGAAACCTAAATGCAAACACATGTTCCTTAGCTTATATATCTACTCTCTGCAGCTGAGAAAGACATTGACAAGTTTCTCACAAATTATACATCCCTGCTTTATATAACCCATCTTGCAACAGCATGTATTAATTCAAAGGGTTAATTATTTTTCTGCTACTCTTGATTGGCTTGTGATTTTTAGCTTTGCTGTAAGATAATAGGATTTATATATATATATATATATATATATATATATATATATAAAATCCTGTGGAGGTAAAGATTCAAAAATTGATAGACAAGGGAATAGTATGTCATGGGGTTACATTCTTAGTCCTTCAAACTTAATTTTAATTTCAGAATCTAAAAGACTGTGTATTGCGGGAAAAAAAGTCGAGTGTTTTAGATTCTGCAATGATAGTAATCATTGGAACTTTCTTTCTATTTTTTCAGTGCAGAGATTTGTGGGCATTTTTGTCGTTTGCTAACTCATACCATGTAAAGAAAAAAAAATTAAATGGCATTGACAAACATGGGTAGTTTTCAGTCCTTTGGGGCATGGGAACTGTAAATGAAGTTTCAGTTCATCTTTTCTACTTGGTGTCAGTCTGATTCTTATCTGTGTGAGAACTAACATTATTTTCTACTAATGTAAATCTAAACATTTGGGAAAGAAAGTACACGTCTGACAGGATAAAATGTTGAAAATATGCCAAGAGAAAAATAGGTACAGTTGGTTCTTGACCAGTGCATTTCTGTAAGTTTTTTTTATCTTCTAAGAAAAAAAAAATATGGTTAGAAGCTCAGAGGATGTATTCTACCTAAAACACTGTTTACAGGCAGAATGACCAGAAGGTAACTTTATTTTCTACTTTGGTTTATTTTTCCAAAAAGCTAAAATGTAGATAGTTGTACAAACCAGTGTTGACTAACTACTTCAATATGCAAATGAGATGGCACCAGAAACAAGATAACATAGTAGTAAACTACTGGGTGATCCTTGTCCACAAATGTGCTGGGAAACAGGATTATTCTTAGGCACATTAATCTGTTCTGTGGCCTGCAAGCCAACAGATACTATTTTTGAATGTATATGATATATGGCAGGACTTGCTAAGTTTCACTTCAAAATGAAAATGTGACCCCTTGATCTAAAATTAGTAAGGATTTCAGTATATCATGAGCAAAGCTTTAGACTTAGGATGAGGTCAGTGTGACTGAACAGGTCACACACCATAGAGTCTGTTCTGGAAAGTGGATCAAGTGTTAAACTCTAATTGTCATTCAATTCTTTCCATGTGACTACATGGTACCATCATTGTATATGACATGTGTAGCTGCTACGTTATGATTCCATGTGAATGGTTTCACCCTAAAATACCTCTCCCAAATATGCCCTTCATGCACGTTCCATTCTGTGTTGTGCCTCCTGTTGTGGAAGGGTGTTAGCCCTGGCCCAGCCTACTGAAAACAGTGTAGAAGAGAAGCCCCTTCCTCAATGACTCTTGCTAATTGGTACCAGCTCAGGAATCCCTTGGTGTCCAGAAGCTGCCAACTGTACTGCAATGGTTCTTTATCATCTTTCCAAAGGTGAAGGATACCAAGTTAGATAAAAAGCGTACAGACAAATAGAAACGTATTAGGCACTCGCATCTTAAATCTTTTGCATACAATGAAATGCCCATTCAAATAATTTTGTGATTTTAATTTGAAAATAATTTTCTTTTTTTAAAGATTTTATTTATTTAAGAGGTAAAGTTATAGACAAAGGGAAAGAGAGAAAGAGAAAAAGGTCTTCTATCCACTGGTTCACTCCTCATGTGGTCTCAACAGTTGGAGCTGGGCCAATCCAAAGCTAGGAGCTAGGAGCATCTTCCAGGTTTCCCATGGAGGTGCAGGAACCCAAGGACTTGGGCTATCTTCTGCTCTTTTCCCAGGCCATATCAGAGAGTTGGATCAGAAGAGCAGCAGCCGAGACTAGAACCAGCGCCCATATGGGATGCTGGCACCCCAAGCAGAGAATTAACCTGCTGTGCCACAGCACCAGCCCCATTGAAAATGATTTTTATCCAACAGTTTTCTCAATTAATCAACAACTTACTTCTTAAAAGAACCACGACTATGCATTTTCTCCATATTGATATACTACTGGTAAACGCAATAATAAAATTACCTTTCTTAGTTTTATTGCTTATTTTATTAAACCCATGAATAAATGACATTTCAGTTTTCAAACTATTATTTTTAAATGGCATTTTTAAAAACAGAAACATATCTTCAATTTTTTTGTTCATTTCAGTTCCTAAGTTCCTTTGAAATTTAATTTTCAAGTATCGTGGATATTTATTTTCCTTAAAAGGTGAAATTGTTTATTCTAGAATCTTTGCCATCACATCTCAGTTTCTGCATTTGTATGAGAGTAGTGTTTGACACTATTCTTTGTTCATTTTTGTAAATGAACAACTTGATAAACAAGCAACATAATGATTCAAAGAATGTTAGACATAATAGATTTTATCTTTCATATAAACTTTTTTTTTCTGAAAAGCAACTCAAGTCTCAAAGGTATTACACCTAAGAATGTCCAAGTTACTCTCCATTGGCCCTCAATTTTTTTTAAACTTTATATACTGTTGAGTTTTGCTGCTTTTTCTAATTTCACTGGTTATCAGTATGTAACATCATAGAAAGAGTTGGATTTATGATGCTTCATGACATACTCAACCTGGAGCTCTCTCTTGCAAGGTGGTGGCATTTAGGACTACGTGAATTTTTAAAAGTGACCAACACTAGCCATTTTGAATGTGTATAGGGGAGTACTTATTTCTCATTTGTAATATAGTAGATGATCACATTACATTAAAATATGCATATGTATCTCTGCTAGCAAAACATGGCATTGGGATTGTTTCCTGAATATGTACTTTATTTGTAAACATCATATAATATAACATTATTTGATATAAGATAACCCAGAATAGGCTAGTGTTGGTTATGAACATCCTTGGGATACTTTAAAATATTAATGATGCCTATTCAAAGAAACTGAATACATAAATACCATTACAGATTCATCGCATTACCAGAGATATCTACCATTCTAATTCACAGGTTCATAGTCACATAAAAAAAAAGTCATCATCTCTGTAGTAGCTACTGAGAGTTCTAACATAATATCCAGTTACATCTGTTAAAACAGAAGCACAGCAAACAGACAAGCTATATGAATTTCCCACTGTTTTTGTAGCACAGAATCTCCTGTCTGTTTCTCGGTGACACTCTCAAGGTTGACTTTGTTCCCTTTTGGCGATGACTGAACCAAATGGCTCTGTTCATCCATGGTCCTTACCTCCGGATATGAACGAGTATTGAATAAACGCAAAACATAAGGAAGTTAATGTCTCTACGTCTGTGACCTGAGAACTCTAGGTGTACCTATGTAAAATAAACATGGTAAAGAGGAAAGTGGGCTAGACAGATGGTTTTGGGAGTTGGTCAGTGCAAATAACCCAGGTCTTAGTTGTTGTAAGAAAGTTTTATCAATCAGGTCCCTGAGAAAGGTGGTTTTTGAATATTGAGATTCTTTTAAGACTTAATCCATTCAGAGTTATATTTAAATATTCATTGAGTTTTAATGAGGAAATTTCCATTGATTTGAACCCTTACAGCATGAATACCCTCCAACTAGTGTTGCTTGGGTTTATGTGTTTTCCTGGACTCTTAAGGCTAATCCACAGCCTGGTTCTGGATAATCTAGGCCCCACAATTGGTTCCCCGAACGGCGGTGCATTTCAAAAATGACTGCATTTGTTACATGTGGGACATACAACAAATCTGTTTTAAATACTTACTTATGTGTTTAAAAGGCATAGTTATCAAAAGAGAGAGAAAGAGAGAGAGAGAGAGAAAGAGAGAGAGAGAAAGAGAGAGAGAGAGGGAAAGAGAAAGAGAGAAAGAGAGAGAGAGAAAGAGAGAGAGGGAAAGAGAGAGAGAGAGAGAGAGAGAGAGAGAGATCGTCCAATTTGCTGGTTCACTCTGCAAGTGTCTGAATGGAATCTGGAACTCCATCCGGGTTGCCTGTGTGAGGGAAGGGGCCCAGCACTTGGACCATCTCCCGCGGCTTTCCCAGGTCCATTAGCAGGGAGCTGAATTGGAAGCACAGAGACTTGAAATGGAGCCTAGTGGGATGCTGTCATACAGGGTACTGCCACTGCTTGGGCCCCTGCCACCCATGTGGGAGACTCAGATGGACTGCTAGGCTCCTTACTTCTGCCTGGCCTTGCCCTGTCTATGGCAGCCATTTAGAGAGTGAAGCAGCAGATGGAAGGTTGTCTGTCCGTCTCTCTCTTTCTCTCTCTTTCTCTCTGTTTCTCCCCTCTCTCCAGCGCTGCTTTTCAAATAAATAAATCTTAAAAAAAAAAGAAAAAGATTGGATTCAAGCAGTTCAGAAGCATAGTCAGCTATTTGCTCTGTGTGTTTGTGTGAGTTCAGCTGTTTATCTGTATTTAAATATGAGAATCAGTTTTTAAATAGGGGGTTTATCCAACTAGAAATCTATTATGACTGTATATATTTAACTTATCTAAATTAAAATTTTCCAAATTTTTGTATTCTTGTTGAAACTGTGTTTGATAGTTGAGGCATTAGGAAATTGCCACTGATACCTGCAGTAATTTGAAGTTTGTTATGATTTTTGCCTTGGAAAAGTGTTTTTTTAAGAACACATACAAAGAAGCAATTAGAAGTGTTCAAAATCAATGAGTTGACTTTGCCTATTAGGTTTCTAACATAATGATGTTGTATTTCTTTTCACAAATAATATCTCTATGCAAAACTATGTTAGGGCCTGGTGCTGGTTCTGTAGCACAGCGGGTTAAAGCACCAGCATCATATAAGGACACCAGTTCGAGTCCTGGCTGCTCCATTTCTGATTCAGCTACCTGATAATGCACTTGGAAAAGCAGTAGAAGACGGCCCAAGTCCTTGGGCCCCTGCACCCATGTGGGAGACCCAGAAGAAGCTCCTGCTCCTGGTTTCAGATCAGCCCAGCTCCAGCTGTTGTGGCCATTTGGGGAGCGAACCAGTGGGTGGAAGACCTCTCTCTCTCCCCCTCTGTCTCTACCTTTCTCTGTAACTCTCTTTCCAATAAATAAGAAATCTTAAAAAAGAAAAAAAAAAACTATGTGAAGATGGGGCTGCAGTGTTTTCTGTTTAGTTGGTAAATCATGGACTTATCATTCCAATGAACATGGAAAGGTGATAACTGACTTATACAAATTGGTATTAGAAGGAAATGAGAGATGACATAAATCTCTAGTAGAACATTTTCCTAAAATAACTCCTTTTCCTAAAATAACTCATTTTCCTAATCCTTATAGATTAAACACATTTGTAGGTAGGTCAAATGTTCAAGATAAGTAATAAGTAAGATAAGGAATACTTAAGTAAGATAAGTTAATACTCAGTTTTAAAAAAAATTACACAAAAAAGGATGGTTAAGAGCAAGAAAAAGTAGAAAAGCATAAAGATGTGTAAGTTTTGGAACTTTGTAAAACAAAGATTATGTTTGGTAACAGTGAGTTCCGTGTTTATTGAGATTAGAGTTATCAAAAGTATTGAGAAATGAACTTGAAATATTAATAGAACCATTACAGTCTAAGATGACAATGTTTCAGACACTCACCAACTGAACCTGATGTTTATAGCACTATGCTTTTTTAAAAAAAAAATTGTAATCTTTCAAAGATTAGTTGTAAGCGGCAGATAGAAAACCAAAAGGATTCATGCATTTCTGAGTCTCTATTATTGTGACTGTTGCAACAGATGCAGTGCATGTTTAAAATAAGTAAGAAATGTTAAAATCAAAAAGCCCTACTGCTCAAATAAGTACAAATTAAATGCTTAAAAATCTTGCAGACGTGTGTGTGTTCCTGCTTGGGAGCAAGTGCTCAGATCTAACCAATACTACATTCTCTTAAGATAGTGTGAGTGCATTCAGAAATCCACCAACAACAGATGCTGGCGAGGATGTGGGGAAAAAGGGACACTAACCCACTGTTGGTGGGAATGCAAACTGGTCAAGCCACTATGGAAGTCAGTCTGGAGATCCCTCAGAAACCTGAAGATAACCCTACCGTTCGACCCAGCCATCCCACTCCTTGGAATTTACCCAAAGGAGTTTAAATTGGCAAACAAAAAAGCGGTCTGCAGCCTAATGTTTATTGCAGCTCAATTCACAATAGCTAAGACCTGGTACCAACCTAAATGCCCATCAACGGTAGACTGGATAAAGAAATTATGGGATATGTACTCTTTAGAATACTATACCGCAGTAAGAAACAACGAAATCCAGTCATTTGCAACAAAATGGGGGAATCTGGAACACATCATGCTGAGTGAAATAAGCCAGTCCCAAAGGGACAAATACCATATGTTCTCCCTGATTGGTGACAACTGACTGAACACCAAAAAGGAAACCTGTTGAAGTGGAATGGACACTATGGGAAACGGTGACTTGATCAGCATAGCCCTGACTGTTAATGAACAACTTAATACATTATCCCTCTTAGTAGTTTTTTTGTCTGTTCTACTTAATATGACTGGTTTAATTCTGAAATTAATACACAGTTATTCTTAAGTGTTGAAATTTAACTGAAATGTGATCCCTGTTAAACATAAGAGTAGGAATAAGAGAGGGAAGAGATGTACAATTTGGGACATGCTCAAGCTGACTTGCCCCAAATGGTAGAGTTAGAAACATACCAGGGTACTCCAATTTAATCCCATCAAGGTGGCATGTACCAATGCCATCTCACTAGTCCAAGTGATCAATTTCAGTTCACAATTGATCATAATGAAAGGACTAAGAGTCAAAGGGAGCACATAAGCAAGTCTAGTACCTGCTAACACTAACCGATAGAATAAATAAAGGGGAGAGTGATCCAACATGGGAAGTGAGATACTCAGCAGACTCATAGAATGGCAGATGTCCTAAATAGCACTCTGGCCTCAGAATAAGCCCTAAAGGCATTCGGATCTGGCTGAAAAGCCCATGAGAGTATTTCAGGCATGAAAGCCAAGACACTCTGGCAAAAGATCTCTGTGAGTGAGATCTCAGTGGAAAGAACAGGTCTTCAAAGAAGGAGGTACCTTTCTCTGAAGGGAGGAGAGAACCTCCACTTTGACTATGACCTTGTCTAAACAAGATAAGAATCGGAGAACTCAGAGGGCTTCCATAGCCTTGGAAACTCATGACTGGAGCATAGGGAGATTACTGATGCCATAGACAGGAGTGTCAATTGGTAAAGTCAACAACAGGAGTCACTGTGCACTTACTCCTCATGTAGGATCTCTGTCCTTAATGTGCTGTGCATTGAGATTTAATGCTATAATGAGTACTCAAACAATATATTCGCTTGTGTTTCTTATGGGGTGCCAGCTGTTGAATCTTTACGTAATGCCTGTAATAAAAAAAATTAAAACATACTTAAAAAAATATACCAGAAACTATCAACTCCCAACTTGACTCTCACTGGATTAAACATGACAATAGGTCTGATCTGATTTCATCATCATTAAAAAAAAAATCATCTATTATTTTTCACTTTATGTTTCTGTGTGGGAGCAAACTGTTGAAATCCTTACTTAATGTATACTAAGCTGATCTTCTGTATATTAAGATAATCGAAAATGAATCTTGATGTGAATGGAAGGGGAGAGGGAGTGGGAAAGGGGAGGGTTGTGGGTGGGAGGGACGGTATGGGGGGGAAGCCATTGTAATCCATTATTCGTACTTTGGAAACTTATATTCATTAAATAAATAAAAAAAAAGGAAAAGAAAAAAAATAAATCTATTAAAAAAAAAAAAAGATAGTGTGAGTTACATCTAACTTGGAATCTTAGAAACTGATCACATACTGCCATAAATTATTATAAGCTTTTCAAAAGCAGAAAAGAGAAGAAAGCAATACCTTCACTGCTATGTTCTAGTACAGGTGACTACCCATTATTCTAGATAAGGTGTCCATTTTGTTGACATTTAAACTAGTATTTCACTCACCATATTTCCCTGAGACCCATGAAGGTGACTGTCTATTTTCTTTGCTTTATATTATTATATACGTTTACCAAAATATGTGAATGTGTAATGCACAGTGAGATTATTGTATACGTTTACTAAAATATGTGATGTGTAATGCACAGTGAGATTATTAAAAAGCAAACAAAAAAAAAACACAGCATAACAAAAGCAACAACTGATGGGTATCTTGCTACCTATTTCAATGTTATTTGCTACTATAAATGCAGTGGTTCAGTATGCATTTCATTGAGATTTGAAATTTTACAGGAGTCATCAAGACTGCCCTTCCAAACATGGATAGAGAAGCAAAAGACCAGTACTTGCTTGTCATTCAGGCAAAGGATATGGTTGGTCAGAACGGAGGTCTGTCAGGAACTACGTCAGTCACCGTAACCCTGACTGATGTCAACGATAACCCACCCCGCTTTCCTCGAAGTAAGTGCCATTTTTGTTAACTTTCCTCACCAAAATTTATAAAAATCTTTAAAAGGAATTCTTTAAGTGCTTCCCCAGCAAATACTATTGTCTTGCATTCTCCCCAAATTTTATTTTATCAAGGATAGGTTTATAATTGAGTAGTTAGTAACTAGAAGGATCTTGAGAATAAATAGAAACCATTATATATTTGTATTACTTCTATTTTTAAAATGATTTTAATTCATATTTTGAGTATTGGATAAGTATTATATTTATATAACCATTTTCTTTTCTAAGCCATATACTTTTTATACATTCTGTAATTATGAAGTTGTTGTCAATTAGTAATATTCAAATATATCTTATCAGTTCTAAACCAAAAATATTGGTTTATTTTTAAAGATGAAAAAAAATAGCAACAAACATTTTCCTTTTTCATTCCACATTTTTAAACCAGTGCAATACACTTAACATTCCTTTAACGGTTCTAACACATCTTTCTTGTACAGACATTCAGGGTTTCAAAAGAAATCAGTCCAAAGAACTAGAACACCACATGCCCTCAATTCAGCTTCTTTGACCAAAGTTTTTTTTGACTTAACCAAGAAAAAGGGAAAAATAACATATTCTCTAGGTAGAGGTGTTGTGTTTGTAGAAAGCATTTCATCTCATACTCTTTTTAGTTGACTTTTTTTTGTCAGCATATGTGGTACTTCTTTAGAATTCTCAAGAAAATAAAGGGATTATACAGACTCTGATGTCTGTGCAAAGTTTTTAAAATGCTTATCCAATAGAAATGAGAAAGTAAACTTTCTACCACAAAAGGGAGGCAACGATATCAAATAAGGAGGCTTTCTTGAGCAAATTTGAATGATATTGTTTTTTCTTCAAATACTGCTTCTTCAGGTATTCATCTTGTTTATATATTTTAATATTAATATTTTTTGCACAAGAAGCATTTTAATCTCCTTGCAGTATAGAAAAGTCACTAAAAGTTTATATTTTTTCATAAAAAACATGAAAATAAGTCTGTTTTTGATTGTGATATTGTTGGGTTATCATATTACAGTAGGAGGTTTTAGGGGAAAAAAGTAAGAATGTAATAATCTTGGGTTCATAGTAAATTAACTGCTTTTCTTTAAGTCTGGAAGGATAAGGCAATATACTCAGATAAGACATTATGCTTGGAATTTTAGTTTTAGTTATGTTTTGATAAGATAGAGCACAGATTGTCTAACTTATTGGATACTCTCCTTATTAATGTAAGAAAAGGCAAGGATATGTCACAGAAGCTTACATTTTTTTCTGACTTTTCCCACCAATTAATTATCATTCTAAGCCTGAAATTTTCAAATCTTGTGAACTTTTCCAACTGTGTCAAAGAGGTCACACGAAAACCCTAAGTATATGCTGTAATCATTTTTTAAAGTTTATAACTATCACAGCCTTTAGAAACTCACAGCCTAAAAGTGATTCCTTCATAGGAGTGCGTTTTTCTTTCCATCTTTCTCTCGAAGAGAACCCATTCTTCTCTTTTCATATGAAAGTACGAATGTGCCATAGTTTGTCAAAAGGGAATGGTGTAAGATGAAGGAGGTAAGATAGCATACACGATTAGAGAAGTAAAGAAACAGCATTGTGAGGTGCCTCCACTTTTCTAGTGGTGGTCCAGCTGCTTCCTCTGCCTCCTAGCCTTGTTTTTCAAGATGAGGGATGGTGAGGAGGAGTCATTTTAAAAGTTAAACACTCAAAAAGTTACCCTTAATTTCTTACTTTTCTTCATGTTCAAATAGTACTGACAATATTCTTGGACTGTCATGCCCTCATTAGTTCCATATACAGCTCACAAAAGTAATTCTCGTCTTTAGTAAATGTGTAACTTAAAAGTAGATTAATGAAAGGAAACACCAGAAAATTCATGGGAAAACTTGAATTAAAATATGTTTATTTTGTTGCAAAAATATTTTGAAGTTCTATGCATGAGGAATTTTTTAAAAGTTCATAGAAAAAATAGATTATGAAAAAAAGCTGCATGAATTTCCAAGTGTTCTGCACCCATGTACACTCATCTTTTAACTTATTGTTTCATGTACCTTTTGAAGTGTCATTATACTGTCTTCTACTTCCTGGCCTGTTACCTGAAATGTTCTTCATAAAATACTACATAAATTCAAACACTAAATTATCAGAACTATTTAGCCTTTTATTTGCCCATTTTAAGCCTAAGCTGTACTATTTTTATTTATTATTTGTTTTTTATTTAGTATTTATTACAATTAATTGCCTATATTTAAGGATTATATATTAATTAAAATTATTTTAAATTTATTTTTATTGATGAGTCATTTTTTTCTTAGCACAAGAAATGCAGGAAGGCAGAAGGGAGGTGTTTTCCTTGCCTGTCCTCAAGCTACCTGCTTCTGCTATTACATAGTGATCATTATCAAATCACCCCAATCAAATTGCTTGAAGTTACATGAAACTTACCATTTGTCTTAAGTTGCCTTAGTATCTTGATGATTGAAAAAATATAAGCAAATTAAGCAAAGACGATGCAAAACGGCATCTAAGTCTTTGTGGTTGTGAGTTTGGTATGAGGTTAAGTTCAATTCACGTTTTGAATTTCACAGGGTCTTACCAATACAATGTCCCGGAATCATTGCCTGTGGCCTCTGTGGTGGCCAGAATTAAAGCTGCCGATGCAGACATTGGAGCCAATGCTGAAATGGAGTATAAAATCGTGGATGGTGATGGGTTGGGAATTTTCAAGATTTCTGTTGACAAAGACACACAGGAAGGAATCATTACTATACAGAAGGTAAGGTTTTCTTTATTTTTATTTTTATTTTCTCCTGGGACGGCATCACAGGAAACTGAGAAATCATGTCTGCTTTGACAGCAGAAGGTACTAGACAAACTAAACAGCCATACGGAACCATTGATATTTTAACGTTAGTAAGATGAGTTAGGCATTTCTTTTCTCTCTTTAAAAACAGGATTTTATTTATTTATTTGAGAAGTAGAGTTACAGACACAGAGAAGGGGAGACAGAGAGAAAGGTCTTCCATCTGCTGGTTCACTCCCCAAATGGCCACAGTGGCTGGAGCCTGGCAGATCCAAAGCCAGGAGCCAGGAAACTCTTCTGGGTTTTCCATGTGGGTGCAGGGGCCCAAGCACTTGGGCCATCTTGTACTGCTTTCCCAGGCCACAGCAGAGAGCTGGATCAGAACAGGAGCAGCATGGACTTGAACCGGTGCCCGTATGGGGTGCCTGTGCCACAGTAGAGGCTTAACCCACTACACCACAGAACCGACATTTATTTTCAGTGCCAAAATGCTAGGGAAACTTGAGTGACTATTTATGATACCCCATGAATTTTACTGTTTGAGTAAAACCACATCCCATATCCATGATCCTATAACAGTAAGGCACACTGGCAAATGTGCTATGGCTGCTTTGAAGACCAAGTTGGGGAAATGAGTGTTTCTCCCTGACTATTCCACTAATGAAACCTTGAAGTCAACCGAAAGTCTGTGTATAAACATCATTTTATTTTGTTGATACATGGAAACCATACAGATACAATTGGAAGTAGAAACTAAACTGGGAAAACTTACTATATTACCAGTTACTCTGGTTTGTATTTTGCATTTATTTATTTATTTATTTTTTAAAGGCAGAGAGAGAAAGAGCTCCCCCATTCAGTGGTTCACTCCTCAAGTGTCTGCGATGAGTGAGGCCAGGCCAGGCAGAATCCAGAAGCACAGAACTCAGTCCAGGTTTCCAACATGGGAAGCAAGCACAGGGCTATTGGAACCACGTTGTGATGCCTCCCAGAGAGTGCAATAGCAGGAAACTAAGTCAGGAGTGTATCAACTCAGAACACCCAGCTACTTTGATATGGGTTGTGGGCACCCCAAGAAATGTCTTTTTTATATATATATATATTTGACAGGCAGAGTGGACAGTGAGAGAGAGAGACAGAGAGAAAGGTCTTCCTTTGCCGTTGGTTCACCCTCCAATGCCCGCCGCAGCTGGCGCGCTGCGGCTGGTGCATTGCGCTGATCCGAAGCCAGGAGCCAGGTGCTTCTTCTGGTCTCCCATGGGGTGCAGGGCCCAAGGACCTGGGCCATCCTCTACTGCACTCCCGGGCCATAGCAGAGAGCTGGCCTGGAAGAGGGGCAACCAGGACAGAATCTGGTGCCCCGACCGGGACTAGAACCTGGTGTGCTGGCTCCGCAAGGTGGAGGATTAACCTATTGAGCCATGGTGCCGGCCCAAGAAATGTCTTAACTGCTATAGTAAATGGTCCCTTTTTAAAATCTACAGTAATTGAAGGACATATAAGAAGTATTGTAAAGAATGAGACCTATCATATTCTCTAAGTAAAAGTGCAAAGGAGATAAAAAGTCAGTGAAGATTCTTTGCCAATGTATGTTTAAAATATCCCCCAATAGGGGCAGGCATCGTGGTGTAATGGGTTATGCTACCACTTGGGTTGCTCACATCCAATATTGGGGGGCTGGTTTGACTCCTGTTTATGCTACTCTGGATCCAGGTTTTTTGCTAATATGCTTTGGATGCAGCAGATGGTGGCCCAAGTTGTTGGGCCACTATCACCCATGTGGGAGGCAGAATTGGAGTTCCCGGCTCCTGGTTGCAGCATGCCCAGCCCCTACTGTTGTGGCCATTTGGAGAGTGAACCACTGTGTGGAGGATTCTCTCTCTCCTCCTCCTCCTCCTCCTCCTCTTCCCCCTCCTCCTCCTCCCTCTCCCTCTCTCTCCTCCTCCTCCTCCCTCTCCCTCCTCCTCCTCCCTCTCCCTCTCCCTACCTCCCTTCCTCTCTCTCCCTCTCCCTTCCTCCCTCTCTCCCTATCTCCCTCTCCCTTCCTCCCTCCCTCTCTCTCCCTCCCTGCCTCTCTCTCTCTCCCTCCCTCTCCCTTCCTCCCTCCCTCTCTCTCCCTCCCTCCCTCTCCCTCTCCCTCCCACCCCAGTCACTTTGCCTTTCAAATAAAAACAAACCTTCTAAAAAGCTGGATTAACCCTGACATTGACTATATATATGGAGGAAAGGAGCTCTTCTTCTATAGAATACAGGTATGATCTTTGGCAAGTTTTTAATTAAAAATAAATTAAAAGATGTTATGTCAGAATATAGTCTTATTCTATCATGTATTTGAAATATTTAAAATATGTAAAAAATCCCTACTTACAAAGATATTTGGATTTTTTTTGCCAGTTTTACATTCCAGGTTTATAATTCTGTAGTTAACACCCCTTGATAATTAACATATATAAATCAAAAAGTAATATTTTATTTGTTGTAGGAAAACATATGTTTGATTTAAGGCCAATGGGAAAATATTTCTGCAGTTATTTCCATTGACAGCTGTTATTTGAGTTCTACTGGTGAGAGTATGAAGAAGTTTTAATAACTAAGATAGGCCAACTGTGGTAAAATATTTTTTTGTCTAAAATAAGAGGAATGCAGTAAGGTACACTGCTGCTCAGACTTCAGATGTGCACCTGGAATCAGTCTGCTAGGTTCAAGAGTCTTTAATACATTAGAATGATTTTTATTGTACATGTACGTACATTTTATATATTATAATAAAGACAGCATGGATGATTGAAAAACATATTCAAAATGAGATATTTGATATATTTTCAATTTTGTAATAGAATTCCTCAAACTTTAGAAACTTGCCTGTGAAAATGGAAGCCTAAAGAACACCTAGAAATTCAAAATAGAGATCTTTCTCTCACTACACACAAAAATCAACTCAAGGTGGATCAGGCATCAAAATGTAAGTCCCATGAAACTTCTAGAAGAAAACGTGAGGAAGCACTTGAAGACATTGGGATAGTCAAAGAATCTTTGGGGGAGACCCCCAATAGCATAATCAGCTAAAGGAAAATAGATGAGTGCAAATAAGGCAGCCTAAGAAGCTCCTGCACAACAGAGTCTACAAAGTGAAGAAACAGGCAACATAATGGAAAATTTATTTGCAAGATGTTCACCCTTCAAAAGATTAATGCCCAGAATAAAAATGGACCCAAACAACAGAAATACAATCAGATTTTAAAATCAACACTATTTGAATAGATATTTCTCAAGACATGCAAATATCTAAGTGTATGAAAAAATGCTCAATATCACTAATCAGGGAAATGCAGATCAAAAGAACAGTAAGATATCATCTCATCCCAGTTAGAATGACTATTATCAAGAAAAAAAAATGATAAATGTTGGAGAGAATGCATACAGATATGTCCTGTTTTATACCTGTAATAGGAATACAAATGACTACAGCCTGTATGGAAGACAATATGGAGATTCCTCAAAAGTCTAAAAATAAAACTAGAGGGGCGAGCACTGTGTTGTAACGGGTAAAGCCTCCGCCCCCAGTGCTGGCATCCCATATGGGCTCCGGTTCGAGTCCCAGCTGCTCCACTTCCAATCCAGCTCTCTGCTATGGCCTGGGAAAGTAGTAGAAGATGGCTCAAGTCCTTGGGCCTACTCACCAACATGGGAAACCTGGAAGAAGCCTGTGGCTCCTGGCTTCAGTTCGGCACAACTTCGGCAGTTGCTGCCATCTGGGGAGTGAACCAGCAGATGGAAGATCTCTCTTTCTCTCTGCCTCTACCTCTCTGTAACTCTTTCAAATAAATAAAATAAATCTTTAAAAATAAAACTATAAAATAACCTCACTAATGGATAAATATCCAAGGGGAATGAAATAATTATATAAAAAACACCTGCATTCCCATGTATATTCCAGCACTAGTCCCGATAACCAAGGCACAAAATCAACCAATGTCCATCAACAAATGAACACATGAAAAGATACTCAGCCATAAAAAATGAGTGAAATACTGTCATTTGTATTGATGTAATGGAATTAGAAGACATTATGTTAGATGAAATAAGACAGCTACAGAAGACCTAATGTAAATGATTGTTTTAGAGCAAATGTACACAATATAGGAAAATATTAAGAAACAGTCATGCGGCTGGCGCTGTGGTGCAGCAGGTTAAAGCCCTGGCCTGCAGTGCCGCTGTCCCATTTGGGCACCTATTTCAGTCCTGGCTACTCCACTTCTGATCCAGCTCTCTGTTGTGGCCTGGGAAAGCAGTGGAAGATGGCCCAAGTCCTTGGGCCCCTGCACCCTCCTGGGAGACCTGGAAGAAGCTCCTGGCTCCTGGCTTTGGATCAGTTCAGCTCTGGCTTTTGCAGTCATATGCAGAGTGAACCAGCGAATGAAGACCTCTCTTTCTTTCTAAGGCTCTACCTCTCTCTGTAACTCTGTCTTTTAAATAAATAAAATAAATATTTAAAAAACAAAAGAAACCATCAAGGTGAAAATGTTGATAATGTTTTTGCTGTGGCATAAATAGCCAGTAGGGTTTCAATATTTTGTGAAGCATTTTTTGTTCATTCTGAGTAAATGTAGAGTGGAAATCCAAATTTGCCATCTGGCTATCAAGGGTAAAATATCCATATTATGTTAAGTGTGGGGATTTTAAAGATAGCCCCAGAAAGATGTTGAATGATAACATGATTTTGCTTGTCCTTCTAACCTACTAAAATACAGGGTTTATGAGAGCAGTAGTTTGGACTAAGAAAATTATACTGATTTATTACTATTACATATGGTTGCTCTAATTTGCTTTTATTTTTGCTAATGTAGAAAAGTGTCTTGGTTTCTAAGTTTTATCTCTTTTTTTAACTTTTATTTAATGAATATAAATTTCCAAAGTACAGCTTATGGATTACAATGGCTTCCCCCCCATAACGTCCCTCCCACCCGCAACCC